ACCATCATTAGAAACAAAAAAGACTCACATCTGTAACAAGGTTTTACTGATGAAATTATAGAAATGCTGGAAGTTCTCCACCTTTCTTTCCCTCCTACTCCCACTCCCACTCTTCCCAGCAAGAATCCTCTTTATTTTGCAACATACACTCTTTCTCCCATCATAGCCTAAAATATCACTGATATGGCTCCTCTCAATCCCTTTGGAAGCAGAAAAAGCGCTAGGCCAACCTGGAAGCAGGCCTGTCTCCACATGCTGTAAATTTATTTGTGCATTCTTTTGACAAAATACTAATTAAGTGCCTACTATGTGCCAAGTACAGATTGTCTTTTTAGTGATTGAATTCCTTAGGCACAGGAGGTTAACTGATTAGAAATTCAAAATTCCCTCCTTGTTTGCTTTGGAGAGATAATATGGATTGTACAAAGATGTCATCACATCAGCCAAACTCGCTGGGCCCTGTCACCTCCATGCCTTTGCACATGCAGGCCTGCCCCTCTTGGCCTGGAATGCCTTCCTTCTCTCTCTCCTCTTTCTATCTAGACCTGGCTAACTCCTCTGTCTTTTCAGGGTTCATTGGTAAACATTACTTGGACATCATCCCCTGTAACTTCTTGTACCGCTTTCCCTGACTACCAAAAGCTCTATGAGCTTCCACCTACTCCTCCCATTTTTGTACATTTCTTGCTGCATAGTGGATCTCAACACACTAATTCCTTCTTGTTTATTAACTGAGCTGAAATTTCCTTGAGAGGTTTTTCATCCTTTTGCCTAAGGCAAATATGGAGGTTTGAAAGGCAATCCAGACAAATAATCAAAATTGTTTCATCAATAAGAATTGAAACAAAGTTTTTCTTAATGACTCCCCCCTCCAGTTTTATTAAGTTCATTCACCTTCTTAACATTACAGCGTTTCATCGAAATATTTGCAACTATATCACAAGGCTATCAGCTATAGCAAGCTTCAAATTTACACTTATTCCCACAAAGCATGATACTGAACCCAACTACAGGCTCTGCAACTATCTCGTTAGACTCCTTTGATGATCTTGTATCCATTCTGACTGAGCTATGATTTGTTCAAGTTAATTGCCACAGTCTTAACTCACTTGGTACTTTTCTTTTCTCTACAGTTGGCCCAAGGATGTGCTCATGCCTTTGGAAAAAGCTGTATTTACTTAATCCTGCAGACCCAGGAGCCTTGGCCCAATCTGGCTTCCATTGGTTTAACAACCTTAAAAGATTCATTGATCAGTGGTTCTGCTTATAAGGGGACTTTCTATTCTAAATTTTCTAATCCTAGACCCATATAAATCAGAGACAATGGGGGGAAATGGAATTTTTAGTAAAATAGTAATAAATAAAAAACCAAAACATCACCTCCCTTATTTACCTTCTGTAGCTCCTAAAATTCCCAGCATTGCCACACACTTAAGATGGCCGGAAGCCCTTGTGTGAACTGTGGATTAAACACATTCCGACACTAGCAGCCTTTACAATCTTAACAGAAACCAGATCTATGCCAGACACCCACAGAGCTAAGGGCTTGTGACACTTTATTAATATCCCAGGGAAAATTCTTTGTCAGAAGCTGTCTTCATTACTCCTTTACCCCCTTTTTCGTTTAGCAAAGACTGTGAACTTGGTATCAGGACTAGTTAACACTGATGGACAAAAATAATAATCATCACACTGGTTGCTTCATATTATGGTAGCAACTTTGGGGGAATCATAATAACATTTTTTATTTCAGAACACTTCCATCTTTTTCCAAAGTGCAATGTTTACTTTAAAAATTAAACTTGTTCAGAGAAATTCAAGAAACTCCAAAAATAAAATGATTTTCAAAAGATACCTAAAATTCTAAGTTGAAAATCACTGGTACAAATAAGACTTTCCATGGACTCAACTCTTTCCTTTTCTATTGACTCTAAGATTCCCACCCATACAGCACAGGTTTCAATAGGCCACAGGGCAGAAATTCTGGGGTGGTGGCCATTTGTGGTTCAAATGTTTGGATTATTGGTCTCTTTAAATATATAAAAATATGTGAGGTCAATTTACAGTTTTAATGAGCAATAGTCTCAAAAATCTAAGTAAAACAAGAATAGTTTCTACAAGTTCGTCAAAGTTGACTCTGGCTTAATGCTACCCTAAACATTGAGAAAGGACTATTTTCTAGGATTAAAGCTTGCCTTACATGAAGTAAATTTTGATTTCTTGTAAATCAGTGTTGGAATCACTGATTAGATTGCTTCTGCCACAGCCATGCCATCAGAACATGGCTGGGTTCTTGATGATTTTTCATAATCGACTCTTTTCTGCCCCCAAACTTTTAGAGGGAAATAAATTAAGAAAAATTTCCCTTTAATTGCATCTCTCACTAGTCACTGAAACCAGGTGCATCTTGTTTCATTTAAACTGTGTTATAATTGGAAAGGACGTTAGAGAACAACTAATTCAACTTTCATTTACTAAATAAGAAAATGAAATCCTAGGAAAGTGTGAAATAACTTGCTCATGGACACAAATTACATAATGACAAAGCTGAGTCTTCTCTTTACTCCTTAACCAGTACTGTTTCTACTCTGATAAATGATACGTTAATCAGATTTTTATAACTGAATTCTATTTCCAATGCATAGAGAAGTTGCAATTTAACTCTTCAGCAGATCTTTCCATTAAAAACAGTTTGTTTTGTAATGCATATATGTTGGCCTAATTTATTTTATATGGTTTTCAAAATATCTTTATCTAAGCATTGAGGCATACCCATGTTCCTTCTGTAGCTTGGAAAGAAGAAATGAAAAGGTGAGGAGCCTGTGGGGATGAGGGAGGTGAGAGGCAGAGAGTAGAGCCAGGGAAGGCGGGTTTGGAAGCATTACTCAAGTATCATTGTTCCCTTAGAATACATAGGATTCTTTCCTTGAGTGTGTGCTAGCAGCTCCACAGCTCCACAATGCCATTTCTCCAAAACATTCCTCTCAGGCAGCATTGTAATTGGAAATATGACTTTATTTGCAATGGTAAGAGATCAAGGAAAAAAATACGTAATAGGAGACAATAACTGCAGGATTCTACCACCTGCCAATAAATTAAAGGTTTCAGGCTGTCTAGGCAAAAAAGCTTGCTCTTTGGCCACTCTATAATATTCCACATGAACATTAGTTATATCCTAGAGCAGAAGAATCTGCTGTGCATCAAAAGGGACAAAAAGTGATTCAATATTAATGTTGACAGTGAATCAGATATAAAACAGTAATAGGAATCACTGAAAGAAATGTTCATCCATGTATCTTAGTAAACACTATACATACTTACAAGAACATATAGGGCAAAATTAGTAACAATGCCAAACTTTGAACAAACATTTATTGATTATTCACTAAATGCCAGGCAGTGTGTTATGGGATCACAAAATGCCCAGCAGAATGATGTTACAATCATTCTAGAATCAATTGTTCACCAATTAATGAGGTAAGGTTTATCTACTACATGAAAGTACATAATAATTTCAAATAATAAGTGGCTAAAGGCATCCGTTAAAGTTGTTGTGAAAGTCAAACTGCATTTCTCATAGTTGCGAAAATGGAAAAAGAAATAATTATGCATCATCTCATATTCAAGGAACTTTGGGTGCCTTTCACCTCCTTCTGTTCTCCCTGTGGCTCAGGATAGGCTGATAGCAATAAATAGTATCCAGCGTTAAATCTTGTCCCCTTCCCCAAGGTTAGTCAATATTGCCCCCATAGTTACACTGTAACTACTATTACTTAACTACTATGAGTTTCTTTTATGTGCATCTTTTAAAAATAATCTGTGCTTTTGACAGATAAGGGTAGGTTTTACTTTCAGTCACTAGACAGTATTGTTGGAGATAAATTCCTTTGCTATAATATTATCTCTTTAAAAGTCATTTTGAGGTTATTTCTAGGGTTAAAGTCATCAAAAAGAAGACCTGAGCTTGTCAGAGACAGAAGTCATAGATGGCCCGTTGAACAACACAATCTTCTTAGGCAAACATTGCCAGTGCCTTTAAGGATGGAGTTAGGTTGCACAAGGTTCACCTTTATTTATTTTAAATAATGAAGGCTCAAACCAAATTTAATCAAATCCATTCTTAAGAAATAAGATGAGGAGAAACATCTCTACGTCTCTGCATCAGGTAGGATTACTGGGTTAAATTTTCCAACAAGTCAGATATTTGTTCTGTTTTCTTAGCCTAGATACTTAGGATTCCCTCCAGAATATTGTCCAGCCTAAGGACAACCTGGAGCCTCAAAGGTGTTCTTCCATTTATCTAAAAAAGAATGCCAGCTAATAAATAACCTCTGTGTTCCAAAGGCTTTCTTCTGTCCAGCAATCCAGCTACCTCTATCTAATGGGATCAAGATACAAAGAACAATAAGAAATTCTCTCTGCCTCATTGCAAACCTTCATCCTCTCCCAGTCCATGGACATTAATGAAGGTTAACGTTTATATGGTTTTAATATGAGCCAGACAGTGCCCTGAGCTTTTCATATACAGTAATTCATTCAATCCTCATAACCAGCCTGAGAGGTAGATACTCTGAATATCTCCATTTTACAGATAATGAAACTGAGATATAAAGAGATTAAATAAATTGCCCCATATCACACACATAATAAGTAGTGGAGTCAGGATTCAAACCCAGGCAGGTTGATGTTGGAATTCATATTCTTAACCATACACTTTTGACTCTGAACAAGCACCTATAGAATAGGCATCTCCTCAGAGGAAATGTTCTGGATATTAAAAGATGTATGAAACATCCCATGTTGAATCAGTCGCCTAGCTCAGATCTTTCAAAACCTCTGTGTTGTTAACAGAGAGGAGACAATTCCCAGTCTACTGTCAAGCACCTGTTACACCTGTTTCACCACAGAAGACAATGGCCCTCTATTGCCTCTGGGTATCCTCCCCTGAGTAAAGATTCTCCTTATCTCCATCTCTTAAGCCAAAATAACTCAGTTCTCACCTTTCCAGGCATGAGTGGGGCAAAGCTGCAAGTCCTTTGCACATTTTGGCAAGTGGCTTAGCTCCTCAGCTTTGAGCACAAATTCTTAACAGCAGAGCGAGTCTTGGAAAACTTCAAAACTATCTGGGACTGCCTTTCCCTCTGAGGAATATATAGAGGTCTTTCCCGGCCCTCTGTCGCTCTCCGGACCAATCCCGAGCCTTAGAGGAAATTGCAGGCTGGAGAGCAGCAGCACTTGTGTGGGAGGTGGAGGCTGGAATCTTTTCTCTGCTGCAGGCGCTGCTGCAGCATCAGGCTTTCAGCTGCTCTTATCAGAACACTGGTTGCTTGTTCTGCCAGGGCAGGGTTAGGCCCTAAACTGTGCACAGGTCATTCATGTTTTAACTCGTAATCTTGAGCCCACCACAGTGAAGATGTGGGCTTTGTTATGAAGCAGAGTGCCTTGGGCTACTTCAGATCTGCCGAAGTTGTAGACTGTCAGGACTGCAAGGGCCCTTGGAGATCAGCTAGCCCAACTTTGTTACACAGTGGAGGAAACAGATTTAGAGAAGTCCACAGAGTGTGTACATGAGTACCTAGCACATGCCAGGCACTCTGCTGGATGCTAGGAGTTCAGAGAAGAAAGAGGCACTCCCTGCTCTCAAGACTCACAAACATCACATCAATACAATGTAGAGGAGCGATGGAGGCAGGCTCAAGATGCTGTGAGCTTTCAAGGGCCACCAGAGAAGATTTGGGGGAGAAAATAACCCCTGAGCTGAATAATGGAAGAGACTAAATACACTACATGATTCTATCCACTAGATAATACCCCCCAAATACCCCTAATTCTGTAAGTGGTCTTCTGATTATTCTTGACTTTGATGACTAGGTGAGGTAATTATTTGGATGCCCACCCACCCACCCACCCATCCTTGGCTAGGCTTGTCTTCCCTTCCTCTTCAATCTTTTCCTGCTTCCTATCACTCAAGGATTTTTACCACCAAAATTTAGCTGACTTGTGTCTCATCCTGTCAGGACCTAAGAGGCTGATAAATTAATATGTAAATGCAGATGCCTAAGGGGTAGGCATGTGTCCAAGCTAAAAATATGCAGCATCACATAATCTGTAAGAAAAGCTCTAAATTTGGAATTAAAGATGATTCTCATAATGTTCTCTATTATCTGAAATTATTTGTTTTAAATTGTTGATCAAGGCTTGTTATTAGCTTGTAAAGTCAATATAGTGTATTACGACCTGATGTTTTAAATTAAAAAAATAGAATATAACAGACAAATATTCACATGCATTGCATGAAGAAATTTAAACATTGTTTTCTGAAATTTTTGCTTTAATTATCAACATGTATGTCTAAACAGGGTCATTAGATAAACAGCATTTCTTAATGTAAGTCATAATCAAAAAGGTTTGAAAGCCATGGCTCTGTACCATATTATTTAACAAGGAACCCTGCCCTATTCACCTTTGTACCTCTAGCACTTAGCACAACATCAGGCACATAGACATTTACAAATATTGCTTAAACTAAATGCAGCTGTCCAAGTTCTGCCATTTACTGGCTGCATAAACACCAGCAAATCAATTAATCCAAGTGATGGAACAGTTGTTGTTTATAGAGATTTGAACACTGTTGTTGACTATTGAGTCTCATAGTGGGAATATAAAATAGCAGAGGAGACTCCTTGGGGTAAGAGCCTAATTACTGTTTGAACCCAAGGGGCCTTGAGGAAAGAATATTATGGAAAAAACCCAAATTAATGTAGAATCATGGAGGATAATGTCTTGGCCAGGGCTGAAGATCAAAGCAGGTTTCTGACTGTTCAGAAGAGTTCATGTGATGGGTAGAGATTTAAAGAGTCAAAATTTTCTCAGTCATACTAAAAGATGGGCTAGAACCCAAAATGCAAAAAAATGCAAAATACAATAGAAATAAATATTAATCCAGCATATATTTGTTTTTAAAAACTTTCTAAGGATGAGATAGCCAGAGAGCATGTAAAAGAGCATGCTCATTGTATTAGTCAGAGATTTATTATAAGGAATTGGCTCATGTTGATACGAAACCTCTTAGTCTGAAGTTTGTGTGCCTGATGTGCAGTAAGCCAATCACTGAGACACTGGTGATTGGAGGTAGAGAAACTTTTATTCGAATTGGCCAAAATGAGAAGGCAGGAGGATAGGCTCTCTCAAATACGCCTTAACAAAAGAAGAAAGCAGGGGGTCTTTATAGAGCTAAGGGGCTTGGGAGGAGGAGTTTCAGAGAAACAAAGGGGAAGTCCATGTTTCTTTCACTCCAGATAAGCCCTTGGGCAACCACATTTCTGGGCATCAGCAGCAGCTGGGGGCTGGTTATCTGGTGGTTGTAACTTCCTTAATGGCATTCTTTTTCTTCTGCAAAACAAACTCATAAATCCTTATGACCCTTGAGTCACTCCTCAGGTCAAACAAGAAAACAGCAAATAACAAGCTTATAATGATGCATGAGTTAACTTATTTTCATCTGTGTCTGTGTTGGGAACAAGGTTGAAGGGTAACCATGTTCATACTGAATATTAACAGTAACTCTCAGGTATTCAACTTCAACACGATTATGGAGGCTTGGAAGTTCCAAGATTTGCAGTCAGCAAGCTGGAGGCACAGGAGAGCCAATGGTATACAGTCTTAGTCCAAAGGCTCAAAAAGCAGAACTGGTGGTGTAAGTTGCAGTCTGAGTCCAAATCTGAAGGCAGGAGAAGACCCATGTCCTAGTAAAGATAGTCAGGCAAAGAGAGAGAATGAATCGTCCCTTCCTCAGCCTTTCTGTTCTATTCCGGGCTTCAACGGATGGAATGAGGCCCACCCACATTGGGGAGGGTAATCACCTTCACCTTTACTTAGTCTACCAATTCAATTGTTAATCTCATCCAGACACACCCCACAGCCACACCCAGGATAATGTTTAACCAAGCATCTGGACACTCTGTGACCCAGACAAGTTGACACATAAAATTAACCATCACACTCATGTAAAATAAATTTGAAGTTCTTTTTAAAATACATTGAACTATTTTTTTTCTCTTTTCCCTCCTAAACATCCCTCAAAATGATAGTAAATGTATGAAGAAGGTATAAAGCTATAATGACATAGAGAAAGGGAAATAGGCCATCACGTTCTGAGTGGTTTCAATCTCTTTATGAAAGGTGAAAGAGGTAAAAACTAAAGAAGCAAGCGAACATCCCAAAGAAGTATCCATTTGCCTTGCAGGATGCTGCAGGGGTTCAGACTCCAAAATGCTAGACACTACAGAGGGCAGGAATTAGCTATGGAGCTAAAAGTAGTGGGAGTAATGGAGAGTTTTCATCAGATGAAAGCTCTCTCCACACTCTCTCTCCCCCACAACTGCTCTGATTCATTTCTAATTCGTTTTCTTAACTAAATCATGTATCAAATTATTTGACTATTATTAACACATTTATTGAGGTACATTTTACAGTCAGTGATGGCACACCATGGGGAGAACTTCCGATCTAAGGACCTCTGGGACTGTGTGGTGGATGGTGAACAGGCATCCACCTACTGATGAATCTCCCTTATTGCTGCAGAGAGTTCCACTCAAAGGCCAGGCAGGAGCACGCAGAATAAACGAGGACATGTCTTCACCTTACATGTTGCTTGATGTCTTTCTTTCTGATAATTTTTTAAAGTTACGTACAAGTTCAGTTTGTAATTCTACCACCCAGAAGTATACACTGCCAACAAGTTGTGATATTTGCTTCCAGGATTTTTTTCTTTTCTTTAAGTAAAGAGGTATTAGACAGAACTAAAATCCTTTTAAATGACCATTCTCATTTCCATTCTTTTCCCATTTTCAGTACACACAATTCCTATACAGATTTTGGTATGTGGTTTTCTTCCAGATCTTTCTTTAATAGCTTTGCATACATTGGATTCATAAAAAGTATATAGTAATTATTCATATATGTTTTTATTTATATATATGGTAATATAATCTCCATCTTACTTTTTTATTCAAAATTATGAACTTTTTGTTTTTGTTTTTGGATTACAGTGATAGTCAACACTTATAGAACATTTTCTATGTACCAGGAACTTTTAAAAACACTTTTCATACATTTTCATATTTAATTCTCACAATAAATCTATGAGATAAGTGGTATAATTATCGTCATTTTAAAGATGAGAGAACATTCTGATCTTTTAAATGAAGATGAAATTGTTGAGGGTTAAAAACATCAATACTAGCAGAGCAAGTATGGAGCCTACACTCTCCCTCTAGTTTATGTTTTTTAATCGCTGGAGAGAATTTATCATATGCATATATAACTGCATTTCTCTATAGACCTATTGTTGACTATTTAGGTTATTTTCAATTTTTTGCTTCTGGCAAAAGTAATTCAATTAAAATCCTTGTATATGTCTCCTGGAGCAGTTTCTCTATAATGTGTTTTACAAAGTGAAATTGCTAGATCTTGAGATATAATACTACTAAATCATAAAGTGGTCAGACCAATTTAGCCCCCTAGCAGAAACGTATGAAAGCATCATTTTCCTCTGATTTTTCCCAATACATAACATTTGCCAAGCTTCAATATTTGCCACTGCCAGACAAAAAATATCATGCCTTTTTAATTAATTAACTAATTAATTTAGTACCCTTCTGATTACTAGTGAATTTGAACTTCCATTCATATTTGTATTGGCCAACACAATTTTTTTCTTCCATTAGTTGTGTATTCTCATTTTTTAAATAATCTTATATTTTGCTGATTGGCTTTTTGATATTGATTTGCAAGAATTTTTTTTTTCCTGTGAGGAAGATCAGCCCTGAGCTAACATCTGCCAATCCTCCTCTTTTTGCTGAGGTAGACTGGCCCTGGGCTAACATCCGTACCCATCTTCCTCCACTTTATATGGGACGCCGCCACAGCATGGCTTCACAAGCGGTGCGTTGGTGCGCGCCCGGGATCCGAACCAGTGAACCCCGGGCCGCCGCAGAGCAGCGCGTGCACTTAACCGCTTGCGCCACCAGGCCGGCCCCAAGAATTCTTTATATAAATAATGAAACTGAAAATGAGAGAAGGCCGAAGAAAAAGTAGAATTAGATCTCATTGATGGTTGTGTATACAATAGGTTAGAGTTAAAAGATACCCATAAAACCTGATAAACCAGATAGTAACAGGTTAAATAAGATAAAAGGT